TTATACGTCCGTCTTGCCTTTCCTCTGAGCGTGGAGTCTGGGTTAGATTCCCTCGTCACTCCCCGTTGCATCACTCTCACCAGAACGTGGTGATCTACTTGCTTCTCCGAATTGTACACGTTCTCCCACAAGGCGCTATCCACGTCTACCTTATCATTCATCAATATTCTACAGGGCTTTGCATAGCCAGCTTGTCTGTCCGTTTGTTCAGTTCTCAATACACCGTCACACGCCGGAGAAAAGATCCAGACAATGCCCCTAGCCTGTGACTTCCAAAGCGAAGCATGCCGTTCTGCACGAAGCATGCTTGCTCTCGCTGTTATTTTAAAGAAGTATTAAATGGATACACGCCCGTGGAATCTTAACATATTCCGATTGGTTTACTGTTTTAGACTTATATTAATAGTCTTCGACGTGGGTGCCTATTGTACCTCTTGTGATGCCGGGACAGTAATTCTACCACGTTTCTAAACTGTGTCTAAAGTTACAGCTGCAGCTACAGCAGCGACCCTTTCTTTAAGGTGCTGTGTTGTTCCTTATCTTATGAGCGCCCTATAAACATCAAGGTCAGTGAAAATTACACGAAACTTTGAATTGTTCTGAACATTTTAAGAAGCCACACGTGTATATCAACTAAATACTTCTTTCATAATAACACATGGGGGGGGGGGGGGTTGCCAGTTCTTCTTTATGGAGCGGAATGCTGGAGAATGACCACAAAATATGCACACAAGCTGTCCAGCTTCCACCACACATGTCTACGTAGAATTATCAAAATTTTCTGGCCAGATAAAATCTCAAACACTAAACCACTTCAAGCCACAAACCAAGAAACTTTAGACAGTATGATTACCAAGAGAAGATGGAAATGGCTTGGCCACGTTATGAGAATGACTTCTGATATACCTGCCAAAACAGCTCTCACATGGACACCAGAAGGAAGGAGAAAACAGGGGCGCCCAAAAACAACATGGAGACGAATGATGGAAAGTGACCTGAGTGCGGCATCTTTGACATGGAAAACTGCACTGAAGATTGCACAGGACAGGAAAGCATGGAAATTCCTCTCTGAAGCCTCATGTGTCACTAGGCATAACGAGAACTGATGATGATTGGGGAGGGGGAAAGGGGGGGGGGTCAAAGAAGAGGAGAATAAAAAAGAACCCAGAATTACAATATCAAGAAGTGGACAAAACTAAATTATCATACACTTATTCATCAAGCGATAGCCAGAGAAAGATGGCGGGTTTTGTGAGCTAATGCTTCCATCTGTACACCTCTACGACCCTAATGAGTCGAGTGTTATGTTATGTTATTATAATAACAGTTTCAACATCCTGGCAATCATTCACAAAACCCTGCATTTGCCAGGACATTACTTGTAAATATTTTAGGTTAGGTAAGCCTGGCCGCCAAGTTAAATTGTAAAACAAATTCTGACACCTTACAGATTTTAACTCCCCTCCCCACCTTCGGACCGGCAGAAACAAACTCTAGCCGCTGTGTTGCCGTGGCTCAAAACCCTACATAAGTTTAAATAAAATATCAACATGTAATAGGAGGTCACCATCACCATGTAATAGCCAACATGAAAAGGAAAGTCGCAGAGTATAAATCCAGAAGATAGATTTTACTGCACTGTGTTTTATCCCATATGTAGGATAAAATATATATCTCTATGCAAAACAGTTAGCGCACACAAAACCTAGTACATGTTTTTGAAATACCAACTGGCACTAGATGTCTGATGCAGACAATATCAGTTCCACCGCCTTTTCTTCGCCTCGTACATTCAGACTGAAACAGGTTGCAAACGCAGGTCAAATTATAAAATATTCTCTCTTTAAGAGAATTCGATGACGTGATCATAAGTCATGCGCACATCAAACTCGGTAAACTAAATTTCTGTGGTCACCCAAATATCTTCGACAAGGCAATAAAATAGCTCTAGTTCTGTATTCTATAGATCCTCGATATTCGTTCACAACTACATTTAACGTACCTACGTTATGTAATCCTTCTGCTATCACGTTTTAACAACATGTAATTTACCCAAGTTGTGTGATCATCTTTCTTATTATAAAAATCAAGCTGTTATCTTACCCAAGGTCTGTGATCCTCTGAACCTGGCCAGACGTTCCACACATGAGATTTCTATGTGATAGTATGACACCTAGGCAGCGATACCAAACAAGCAATGATCAACTCATTGAACAAATAAAGGAAGATAAGATAGTGAGATTAACGATTAGTGCGGATATTCATCGTAACTGTTGTCAATGCTGTCCTTTTACATTTTTAAAGGCGGTGTAGGCAACCATTCAAAACAAACAATGATCACCTCATTTAATAGATCAAAGAACATAACATTGTGAGATTAGTGAGGATTTTCATCGTAACTGTTGTCACTACTGTCTTTTTACAACCTTTTTAAGGCAGTGTAGACATGGGTCGTGAGCCTGAGGATTTAGGACCGCATGGCTAGTGCTGTCGCCACGGACAGTGCAGATAAGAATGTTTAATTTTGCCCCTGACAGAAAAACGCCATCACCTTACCGAGGGTCGAACCCAGGTCACCCGCATGAGAGCCCGGCGTTTAACCGCTCAGCGAGCCGCTCCCCATTCATCATAACAGTCCAAACAAACCCATAAAGGCTCCGATCTCCTTTTTAATTCAACTATAAGCACACGAAATATGACCACGCTTGTTCTGTATAGATTATTCATATCTTGAAATCTTCATTTCTGACAAGCGCAGGTTGCACTCGTATGTCCATCAAACTGGACATGAATATTAAAATGTAAAGGACCCTCCTTTTCCCGCGTGTTTCAGGTATATAGGGCTAGACCTTTATTTTATAGAACAAACCGCACTTGGATGGTGATGTGGAGTCACCCCTGCTGCCTTTACTTTCCAGGACTGCACCTGGTACCCACTCAAGGGTGGGTAGACCTGGGAGCCAAGGTCACTTTTGAAAAAAGTCTAGCTCAGCCAGGAAGCCAACCCACGACCTTCCTATCCGCAGGCGAGCGTCTAGCCGCTACGCCACGGCGACTCCCAGACAGGAATTATAGGTATCATTTATCGACGTTATGAATGTTAAATGTTGAGTGTTGAATGAAGAATCGACATTACAGAACTCAGGACACTCCTATAAGTGCTCAGTCCCTATCTTCAGCAGCAAGCGAAGAGTTCCAATTCCGATGATTTCGACGTTAGGGGAGGTATTTTATTGCCTGATATATATTTTTAAAAAGGTCCGGTCAGCCACACAAGAGACCATTTAACATTCTTGGGTCATATTGTGGAGTATATCGTGATGGCCTTGTGGGCTAAGAGCAATATTCAATGAAATTAAAAGCTAAGATTGGCAAGAAGAAATTAGTAATCAAAGCAGTAAAAGAACGACACAGTGCGAGCAATCAAATACACGAAATGAAACTTGGAAGTTTGGCTCCTATCTTCTGGTTGAGACTGAGCACTGATGCACTTATGTAGAGTAATGCTATGTATTACTGCAAGAAATAGTCATACGTTTGAATGTATTTTCACAAAGAATGTGAAACTGGTAGAAACGAACGTGCCCAGACTATGTAAAAGATACCCAAAATCAACAAAACTGGAAGGGGGAAAAAAAACTACACACATATATGGAAAAAATATAGACACTAGTTATTAGGACCTCAAAAATATGGAAAAGCTATAGACACTAGTTAATAACACTCCAAATATATGGAAAAGATATTGACACTAGTTAATAACACCTCAAAGACATGGAAAAGATATCACACTAGTTAATCTCACTTTATTACCTTTAGGCAACCCTGTTGATCCACTTGTGTACATTATAACAGCTATGTCGTCCAGTCTGGGTTTTTCTGGACCTACGTTTCCTGTCAGATGTTGATAAAATAACAGTATACAATATATAGCTTGCCCTACCTTATTTAACAGAATTATGTTATGTCTTGTCTTACCTTGCATGATCTTGTCTAATCTTGTTTATTTAGGTTTTTTGGGGAGACGACGTCATGCAACGTATATATGACCGACTCAAAACAGCAGTCCGTCAAACCTTTTACGCAGCCATGCCTGTTATGAGATTTAAAACCACCAGGATTCCTACACCACCAGTAAAAGAACCAGTGTCGACGTACGCCAGATCTAACTGTATATACCAATTTAAATGCACCTGTAACGCTGCATATGTGGGCAGAACTGATCGACGACTGGAACAACGGGTTGCTGAACATATTCCACTATGGTTGGTAAAAGCAATGCAGAACACTAACACCTCAACAACAACGAATCAGGTAACTTGTCGAAATAATCCATCATCAGCAATTGCGTGCCATATTCTAAATTCCGGGCACATCATTAACAGGGATGATGCATTCCGAATTATTTACAGTTCGGCTAACCGTAGATTACTTCGATACGCGGAAGCTTCAGCGATTGGCAGATTGAAACCGGAACTTTGTAGGCAAAAGGAAATGGTCGTTGCCCTACGTTTACCTTGGTAAAACAGTTTGAAATCTACTCGAATTTGTGTTTCAGTTTCTAGGATTCAGCTATTTGCTTCATTTTAATTAATTGTTACTGAAGTATGCACCTGATGAGATACAGCGAAATATGCCAGGCAATAAATTGTGCAGTCTATTGTTTGTGTCTTCTTTGTTCAAATTTACAACGGGGAAACATTGCTTTGATTATTTGAAACGTCGCCTCCCACAATCAACTGTGAAGCGACTGGATGGATTATTTAAACTGAAATGCAAAATCGCAGTACAGGATTGTCGGTTACGGTTTCTTGGAGAATGCCTTACATCTGGAATATTTCCTCACCGTTATCTTAGATCGCTGAGAGCTGAGAAAATCTGCCCAACGGTACGAAATTTGAGGCGAATGACGAAAAATTACATAGAAGAAATCCAATCGAAATTGATCAATCTAAGGCGAATTCACAGTTCGGCCTACAGTATTACTAACGATCTGACTTTGTATTGTTATTTAAAGTTCACAAAGTTTTGTATTGAAACATTGGGTAAAGTGAAAATTCAAGAAACTACACGTTTAAAGAAGTCATTGAGTTCGGAAAAGATTACCACTTCTGTGCTTGACAATGCTGAGAAACATGTGATTAATCTGTCTTCGTTTACACTCAGTAAACTACAAACTGAAGCTCTTGCTTACGGATTAAAGTTCTGCGTAAAACCTAAACAAATCAACCCCATCGAGTCACAAGCTCAATTTGAAATGTTCTTTGATCAGCTGTCGACATTGACCCCGTCGTCTACCGATTCGGTTGGTTGGTTAAAAGCTAGATTGGTGGATTTGGAACATCAGTACCGCACATCCCAGTCTAAGCAAAAGTGTCCATTATCTAAAGAGCATATTATTGCTCTGAAAACATTAAAAGCCAACGAACAATTAATAATACTGAAACCAGACAAAGGAAATGGTGTAGTTCTGATGGACAAGTCAAACTATCAAACCAAAATGGAAGAAATATTATCTGATCAATCAAAATTTCTGCTGGATTCCAAAGTAAATTACGTTAATAACATGGAAGCGAAAATGAAGAAAGTAATCAAATCACTCTTGGCAGGAAAATTCATCAGCGAAGCTACCGCTAAGATGCTCACACCGTGTGGCTCACTAATACCGCAGTTGTATGGTCTTCCAAAAGTACACAAACCTGGAATGCCCCTTAGGCCCATCCTGTCAATGATAAACTCAGCTCAACATGGTTTAGCTAAATGGCTAGCGGAATTACTAAAACCAGTACGACAATCATTTGAGCCCAAAATACTCAAAGATTCATTTGAACTGGCAGAAATACTGGACACAATGAATGTAAATCAAAAATACATGGCATCAATGGATGTAACATCACTATTTACAAACGTGCCCTTGGAAGAAACCGTGAAAATTATATGTGACCGTATAGAAAATAAACATCTGCAGGTAGGTTTACCTATTTCAAAACTTGAGGAACTTTTAATGTTGTGCACTTCGAACATCAATTTCAGTTTTCTAAAGCAGTCTTACCGCCAGATTGATGGTGTGGCCATGGGAAGCCCTCTAGGCCCTATTTTAGCGGACATCTTTATGGCACACTTGGAGGAACAGATGTCTTTGGATATTGATAGTTTAGTATTTTACCGACGTTACGTTGATGACATATTTATCATCGCCACTAACAAACAACAGGCAGAGTCGTTTCACACCAAAATGAATCAAATGCACAAAAACATCACTGTGTCCCTACAACATGAAAGTAGTAACACTTTGGCCTTTTTAGACATTTTAATCAGACGTAGAGATGATGGTACTATTGAAAGGTCAGTTTTTCGTAAAGACACTTGGACGGGCCAATACATCCATTTCAACAGTTTTGCACCTTTGCAATACAAACGTGGTCTAGTGAGGACATTATTCCACCGTGCTAGGAAGATTTGTTCCATCGACACGCTACAAGCTGAGTTTTGATACGATTAAACAAACACTGCTTTCTAATGGATATCCAGGTGGCTTTATTAAGTGCCATTGCCAGCCGCCTAAACCAGTTACCTTAGAAATGTCGGTGCCAAAAAAAACTAGCCTATATACATCTAACGTTTCGGGGAGACGACGTCATGCAACGTATATATGACCGACTCAAAACAGCAGTCCGTCAAACCTTTTACGCAGCCATGCCTGTTATGAGATTTAAAACCACCAGGATTCCTACACCACCAGTAAAAGAACCAGTGTCGACGTACGCCAGATCTAACTGTATATATCAATTTAAATGCACCTGTAACGCTGCATATGTGGGCAGAACTGATCGACGACTGGAACAACGGGTTGCTGAACATATTCCACTATGGTTGGTAAAAGCAATGCAGAACACTAACACCTCAACAACAACGAATCAGGTAACTTGTCGAAATAATCCATCATCAGCAATTGCGTGCCATATTCTAAATTCCGGGCACATCATTAACAGGGATGATGCATTCCGAATTATTTACAGTTCGGCTAACCGTAGATTACTTCGATACGCGGAAGCTTCAGCGATTGGCAGATTGAAACCGGAACTTTGTAGGCAAAAGGAAATGGTCGTTGCCCTACGTTTACCTTGGTAAAACAGTTTGAAATCTACTCGAATTTGTGTTTCAGTTTCTAAGATTCAGCTATTTGCTTCATTTTAATTAATTGTTACTGAAGTATGCACCTGATGAGATACAGCGAAATATGCCAGGCAATAAATTGTGCAGTCTATTGTTTGTGTCTTCTTTGTTCAAATTTACAACGGGGAAACATTGCTTTGATTATTTAGGTTTTGTTTTCTCTTGGTCTTACTTTTCTTTTGCTTTTGTCTTGTATGGTCCAATCTTGCTCTTTAATGTAATTTTTATTTTGTTCTGTCTTGCTTTCCATGGTCTTCTCTAGTCTTGTCCAGTCTTGCTCTGTCATATTCTGCCTTCTCTTGGAATACTTTGTTTGGTCGTCTCTAGACTTGTTTTGTCATGTTCTGCCTTATCCTGCTTTGTTTAGTCGCGTCGTCTTGCTCTGTTATGTGGTACATTGGCTTGTTATGCTTTGTTTGGTCGTGTCTAGTCTTGCTATGGTATGTTCTGCATTATCTTATCATGCTTTGTTTAGTCTTGTCTAGTCTTTCTCTGTCATGTTCTGCCTTGTATTATCGAGCTTTGCTTTATCATGGCTAGTCTTTCTCTGTCATGTTCTCCCTGGTCTTGTCACGCTTTGTTTAGTCTTGTCTAGTCTATCTCTGATGTGTTGAGTCTCGTCTAGTATTGCTCCCTCATGTCTTTTTTCTTGTTCTAACACACACAGTTCGTAGCGACAACTATGCCACGCAGTCCCAAGTCCTCAGCCTCACGACCCCTTGTCTTACATCCAAACAGTATGAAATATAAAGTTAAGGCAACAATTATAATCTAGCTCATTAGTGTTCACCTTGAGTGGGTAATATTAATTAAGAAAGCATATAATGACTAGAAGCTGGTCTGCGGATCGGAACTTTGTGGTTTCAAGTGTTGAAGAAATATATTTTGTTTTCAAAAATGACCTTGACCCCCAGATCAACCTAGCCTTGATTTGGTTCCAGGTACAAGCCATGGAAAGTAAAGGCGCCGGTGTTATACTGACCACATCAACCACCAAGTGCCGAGTGGTCTATAAAATATAGGTCTAGCCCTATGTGCCCAATAGGCTTGAAGGCTTGAAAAATTGTCCTTCACTTTTACTTTTTGTCATTAAAGAAATTTTCAATACATGGATGGATGGGTGGATTAATGAATGAGTGAATGAATAAAAGGACATAGCTGCACTCGCGACATTACCAGACGTGCTCCGTGCACCTCCCCAGTAGCCAACGAAGATTTTCTATACCTATGTCCTCAGTTGCAGCCTGATTAAAACTCCGCCTGTCCCCCCTCTCCCCGTTCCTTTTTCCCTTTTTGTTCTCCCAGGAAAACTGACCATTTCCTCTGCTCATTCAAAGATAACCCATTCTTCCAGGATGTGGACACTCAGTCTGTTTTGTTGCACTAATTACTTGATCCCAGAGAGCCTGTACTACGCCCCCTTTAAAAGTAGCTCACCGTCCAGATGCGCGGTAGCTGCACGTCTATCAGCATAACTACGAACACCCGAAAATCCTTCATATTCCTTTTTATGTGAGCCTTTATCACTTGATTAATGCCACTCTGCGCATCAGTAAATGAATGAGTTACAAAACTCCATAGGAATAGTAGTATCAATTGAATACTTCCCAACGTGCATGCAACATACTTGCGTTTAATGCGGTTCCAAATGTCTCCGCCTCTTGCACAGCCAGCACGGCAACACCTTCTAGAAGCTTCGTTTTCGCACTTGCCAGCTGCTGCCTGGTACAACCCATTACGATGAGATGGGTAACAGTGGGTGTGTTGGGTAGAACAGTCTGGAACATACGCAGGCAAACAGTTTAAATTATAGTTATATTGAACAGAATATTATCTTAAATCAGAAAGCTGGTGTTTAGTTGGCACTTTAATTTTATCCGACCACATCTCGTCGGCTTCAAGATTTCGAAGGGAATTTCGAGGGATCCCTAGGAGTTTCCCTGGGCAGTACCATTTTACGAAAAGGGGGTGAGAGAATTAGGTCTAGTGTTAAATGAATATCGACTACTACTAACCCTTAACCTTCTATACTTTAGGACGTTCTGGGGATTTCCCTACCAAATCGAGATATGGTTGTATAAAGTAACGTTTTGTTTACTTTTTTTTTTCTCTTCGTTCTATACTATCTCACAGAGCTGTTCATGACGTTTTCCTACTTGCATCGTTGTCTACCACTTGCTTTCTTGCCTTTAACTTTCGCTATGTATGTTTTTTTTTTTTTTTTTTTTCTTTTTTTTTTTTCGCTTTTTTATTATGACCGAAATAGTTTGAGTACCTCTTTTCCCCCGCAGGCTAGGTTGTAGTAAAGGTGTAGTTCACATTATAGTTGGGTTGGATAAAACAGTATCGGACAAATGCAGACAATATCTGTAGGGATGGCCTTACAGATACAATGCAGCCGAGACAGAACATCCTAGAGCATATACGAACAATATGTATTAAAAAAAAAAAGTAAAGTCGGGAGATGAGAACCAGTCATTGCACACGGTTGTAAACCATAAGTGCTCTGCAACCAGTACGGAGACTGTCCACTTGTGTCGCCGTCCGCACGAAACTCCGTAGCTATAGTGACGTTTTTCCGGTTACCCCAGAATTTAAACTCTGGTACACATTCCTAGAGACAAGTTGAGCACTGGGAACTGCCTGGTTTCAAACACCGGCCGAGAGCTGCAGCGAGTCGCAGCTGGATTTGAAAGCGAGTCTCATATCGACTGCTCTAACGTGGCTCCCATTCAATATGTATTGATAGGACGTTATATTGTAGCTACCTCAGAACATCCTAGTCATATAAAGTCTACATCATATACCTGGCATTACACTGTCTAAACAGGTGGCAAATAACTAACAGTAAGGAAGTCAAAATCTAAGTCGGCTTTTGTGGCTTATAGGATTATACACATAGTTTCATAATTTCGCACACCATGTTCGATTCACCTGCAGGCGATTTGGATTTTAGCACTAGTATGGGCACTGATTTTTAAGACGATCGAAACTACAGAATGTAAAAATTCCAAGTAAAACCACAAACAGATGACAGCTGGGACCGGTTGGCGACGCCTCGATAAAATAGATGCACTTTTTTTTTTAAACACGTGAAACACAACATTCTTCTTCTTCTTCGCATCACTGGCTGTAAACTCCGGCGGAAAGTTTTGGTTGCATGTCACCTCTGAACTTTAACCTTGTTCCGGAACCTGAGTTTTGCTTGCAGATCTGAATTAATTGTATGCAGATTGTTGGTTACTTGCCTCTCAGGCAGATGCATTCAGACTTCGAAGGAAGACCCCAATTAGTCCACTGTTACGACATGCTTGTTGGGGAGGCAGGGGGTCCATTCTTGTTTTCCCTACAATATGGCCCGGAAACCCACACGGGGAATACACAAAATGAAGTAGGATGTCTCTCACCTGGAACTTAGGCAGAAGCTCGAAACTGGTGATCACAAGGGAGACTTCAGTTTCATTAATGCCGTGTATCAACGCATCAACACCAAGGGTTGCATACAGAGTGACCACTGCAACAATCAGACATTAACGACATCAAACCAGTAATACCAAAAGTGTTACTCTATGTTACCACTGCAACAATCAGACATTAACGACATCAAACCAGTAATACCAAAAGTGTTACTCTATGTTACCACTGCAACAATCAGACATTAACGACATCAAACCAGTAATACCAAAAGTGTTACTCTATGTTACCACTGCAACAATCAGACATTAACGACATCAAACCAGTAATGCCAAAAGTGTTACTCTATGTTACCACTGCAATAATCAGACATTGACGACATCAAACCAGTAATACCAAAAGTATTACTCTATGTTACCACTGCAACAATCAGACATTACCGACATTAAACCAGTAATACCAAAAGTGTTACTCTATGTTACCACTGCAACAATCAGACATTGACGACATCAAACCAGTAAAACCAAAAGTATAACTATATGTTACCACTGCAACAATCAGACATTAACGACATCAAACCAGTAATACCAAAAGTGTTACTCTATGTTACCACTGCAACAATCAGACATTGACGACATCAAACCAGTAATACCAAAAGTATTACTCTATGTTACCACTGCAACAATCAGACATTAACGACACCAAACCAGTAATACCAAAGGTGTTACTCTATGTTACCACTGCAACAATCAGACATTAACGACATCAAACCAGTGATGCCAAAAGTGTTACTCTATGTTACCACTGCAACAATCAGACATTGACGACATCAAACCAGTAATACCAAAAGTGTTACTCTATGTTACCACTGCAACAATCAGACATTAACGACATCAAACCAGTAATACCAAAAGTGTTACTCTATGTTACCACTGCAACAATCAGGCATTGACGACATCAAACCAGTAATACCTAAAGTGTTACTCTGTTACCACTGCAACAATCAGACATTAACGACATCAAACCAGTAATACCAAAAGTGTTACTCTATGTTACCACTGCAACAATCAGACATTGACGACATCAAACCAGTAATACCAAAAGTGTTACTCTATGTTACCACTGCAACAATCAGACATTGACGACATCAAACCAGAAATAACAAAAGTGTTACTCTATGTTACCACTGCAACAATCAGACATTGACGACAATTAACACAAAGAGTGATACACTGTGTTATCACTGCAACAATCATTCAACCACGTTTAGTGTAACTAAATTACACACTTAAAACATAACAGAGATTATGTATTTAACAATAACTGTACGATGTTAAAGGGGTCACTATTTATGTTAAAACAACAACAACAATTACTACTACTACTATTGCTGCTGCTGCTACTACTACTACTGATGCTGCTGCTACTACTACTGATGCTACTGCTGCTGCAGCTACTACTGCTTCTGCTGCGGCTGCTGCTGCTGCTACCAATGCTGCTGCTACTACAAGTACTACTGCTACTACTACTTTTGCTGCTGCTGCTGCTGCTAATACTACTACTACTACTAATACTACTACTACTACTACTACTACTACTACTACTACTACTACTACTACTACTACTACTACTACTACTACTACTACTACTACCGCTGCTGCTGCTGCTGCTGCTGCTGCTGGTGCCACTTCTACATGCTATGCTTGTACAAAGTTATAGGTCACAAACTCACTTGGAAAATTGAACCTAAAGCAAGTCTGTGCAGCGATCATCCATTCAGCCCTGGTTTCCGCAAAGATGACTAGTCTCGACCTTGGTTTGTGACCTAGTGCTCTCAGCCCATTCCCAAAGTTGTTGATTCTGCTGTCCACTTGAGCAAAAGTCTCCCACTGGTAAGCTCCCAAAACCAACTGCAAAATAAAATGAGCCCACAGATTAGTTAACTAAATGACCCAGGATAGCTCTTCCAGTCCCGCGCAAATGTTGCTATAACACTTCCAGTTCACAAGATAGTGTATAATATGGTATAAATAGTGTTTGTAAGTTAAAAACGCTTCTTTTTCATGGTTCTTCACGTTCACCGGCTGTAATTTCCAGCGGAAAGTTCTGGTTGTTCGACCACTTGTGGACTTCATTCTTGCTCTAGAACTTGACTTTTGAGTGCACATCCGTTTTAGAGATCTAGATTATTTGTATGAAAACTATTAGTTTGCTGTTTCTTAAGCAGATGCACTTTAAGTTGGAAGGAAACACCCCCCCCCCCCCCCTAAATTAGTCAGTCGTTTTTTACTACAGGGGGGCAGTTGTCTATTTCTTCCCTTCCCTTATGCGGTTTGGAAGACACACTGGAAAATAAGTTGAAACAACAGCCACGGAACAAAACTAGCTAGAAAAACAACTGGCATATAAAAGTTCAGAAACGTGTACGATGTAAATAGTAATCAATGGGGTCCTAATGGAGCAATGATGCGCAATACAAGACTCTGTATGTCTAGTAACCTCTCTTGCTCAAGCCTACCTCACCTTCACGTGGTAGACCCTGTTCTTCCCAGCAATCCAGTTTAAGGTTGGAGTCTCAACTCCCAGCGGGAAACCGGATGGGACAACAAACGAAGTAAAGGCGAAAGACGAATCGATGAGCCTACTCTCCTCGAGTATGACTACAGTTTACCCTAGCAAAACAAAGTGCTTAAGTCGGAGGCATCCAGCCAGGAGGCGCACCACAGCAATCAGGATGCCTCGCACACACGCCATGGCAACGAAAGAAGAATAGTAATCAATGAAGGCGATGTTGAATTTGTTCGTACTGAGAGAATAAAAATTAATTTGACAGACTAACGCAGATGTGTTAAAAGATGTGCTACCATTGCCACACTTGGACATTAGTAAAAGATCTTCTGCGTAAATTTAGCACCAATGAAGCGAGATGCCAGAAGAAAGCATGCCGGTTTAACCGTCCGAAACCAACTGGGACATGATACTAGGGACACAGTGTAGGAACATCATACTGGCGTAAATTCATTGAAATGCAAAAGATCAGATGATCTGGTTACTTCTGCGTTAGTCTCCCCAAATAGGGTAGGTAACTTTTCATTCACAAGTTTGTTGGGCTGGTCGACTTTAATGAAGGTTACGGGTGTGTCCAGCTCTGTTGTTTGGTTTCTGCGATGTCTTGCATTTTGTATTCATTCCGTAGAAAGAGAATGCCTGTGACATAGGTTGCAGCAATTTCTAGGGGGTTTGTGTTAGACCCAGTTTCTCCATGGTTTTGAAGTGTTAAAAGCATCAACGTGCTGGAATATACAACATGCGATATCAACGGCATTGCTAAAAAAAAAAACAGTAACCGCGTGAGAAGGCCACGAGCTCAGGAACTACCAATCAGAAGTGAGCTAGTGTGTATATGAGAGGGGTCTGGGAAGACTAAAGTTGAACTAACCCATGATTTGGCCATCTCGTCAGAATATGTGTGTGTGTGGTGGAAAGGGGGTGGGGAGGTTGGACTACCAAGACATGTGTACATCTGAGAACACAATTGTTCAAATCCTACATACAGCAATGTTTAGCATACCTTAATCCAAGTTTAGTGCAAGTAACGATTCCCGGCCCAGGCACACCGTGATTGGGCGTTCATTCATGCTTAGTAACCTTTCAAACGCGCGACTCTCTGTTACAGGGGTGTCAGCTTGTGCTCTGTTATGTATATATTAAGCTTCGTGTGAGCGGTCAGGTACACAACTGCGTTTTACTCGTTGTTCCTAGCGGCCGGCGACGTTGCGCATATCCTAGCCTTCTCGGACTTAAAGTATGACATGAATTTACTTCAGTTGTCAGCGCTGACGACCGACAAGAAGGGTCGAAGGCAGAATGTTAACACTTCTGAAACCACGGTACGTACTCTGCACTATCTCGCTAGACCTAGGCTGAGGCTGTGGTGCTGAGGCTGTGAAAGAGGGAGAGGGGGGGGGGGCTGTTAGAGCCAGTTCTAGACGTTCTGAGGTATTTAAAAGCGGTCACATATGTGCCTGGGCCGGGAATCGCTAACTGTACCCCGAGTTTTTTTAAATTTAATTTTTACACCTCCTTTCCTTTCTCAACTTTCGTTTCATATTAGCTCTCCCTGTTAATATTTTCTACCCATTACATATTTCGGGTACCATGCTGACCTCGCAGGTTGTTTAATTAGTTAGTTGCTTTGTCCATTATGTCTCTGTGTCGACAAAGGGGCCCTATAAAAGACAAAATAATAGACCCACTGCTCCTACACCCCTCCCCTCCCCTCCCTCCCACAATTCCACCCCTAGACAAGCAGCTCGTAAAAGGAGGCTTTTCATTTTAGGAGTTTGCTGAAACCAGATGGTTTGCCGACAGGGCAGATACCACAGCCTAGCTGTAAACTCAACACAACCTCCCTGCAGCCCTCAAGGGCGAATATAGAAAAAGAAGAAGTTCACTGGTTAAAAAACACTTGCGGAAACTTTCAGATGTATTTATGTGCGTCTTCTCCATTCCCCCATTAGCGCTTGCATGTCATTGTTTATGCCATCTTTCGCAAATTATTGATATCAATGATATTATCACCTTGATTAGATCAGTCTTGGCTACGATAAGCTCGAAGATTGTATTTTTAATCTCCATGATGCTCACCCACACAAAAACATTACTACCTCTAAAGACAGATCAAATGAATATTTTGAGGTCTGGATTTCTTTCATGTAATTGTTTGTCAGGAAGCTGAAATATTTTTGTCATATCAAGCGCCACTACGGATTGGAAAAAATATAGCAGAAGGTATGATACCAGGAAGGAGGGGCAGGGGCCGACCGACACGAAGATGGGCACAGGATATAAGTGACTCCTTGAGTATGAAAGTAAATGAGGCGAGAAAACTGGTGAGAGGCCGAGTTTCTTTCCGACAGACTGTGATGATGATGAATTATTTGTCAACCGTCTCAGAATTTTTTGAGAGCTTTTACTAAACTTAGTGTAAGGTGCACTTTGTTGCTTTGAAATAGATAAAGATAAAGTCGAGAGAGCTATCCCATATGAATCGGTCTCTCTCCGCAGAACGATTAGCTGCGTCACAGAAAGCACGAACTCCATAGCTCCCGCGGCCATCCTGGGATCGGCGTAAAAATTGCACCTTTAGATCGCAACAGTAAACGGCTTGACCACTTCGCCACAATGACCACATTTTAAAACGTGCAGAGTGAAACTCGAGAAATTACGCGTTTAAGAGTCACTTTGCAGATTGTTCAATTGCGAGAAGATCGAACACCCTCAACTGGTTTTTACTCTACATGCTAGTTCTTTCGTCGCAGAGCTTTCTACCAACTAGAGAGTTGCACGAAGCGAGAAATTCTGTAATGTCAGGGAGAGCATTCCAGGGATATTGAAAACAGCTATGTCTGAATTGTGAAACCGCGCTCACTACCATTGATTCAGCCACTTAGGTTGATTATTAACAACAATATAAGGCAAATTATACCTGCCATAATATTGCCTTTATGTCACACTGACCTATTTGTTTTACTAATCTAGTAATCAAAGAGACATCCGATACCTCCACACAAAGAACACACAATTGTAGTGTGGGGGGTGGGACAGGTGGAGGAAGCTAAGCTAATTATAGACTATGAAGCCTCTTTTTAATTATGTACATACTTTTTTTTTAGATGAATGTGTTTATATATTTCATTTGATTTCATTCGTAGAAAAAAAAAAAAACAGAAGCAATGATAATTACTAAGAAAACTGATCCTCCAAAATGCAACATCAAAGTAAATGGGACAAATCTAAAGCAAGCTGATATGTTTAATTAAGTACCTGGGTACCCTGATAATATCAGATGGAAGATGTATTAAGGAAGTAAAATGTCGAATAGCTCAAGTGAAGGCAGCATTTTTCAACATGAAGAATATTTTATGTTACCTTTCTTTGTCAATTGAGACGAGACAGAACATTCTTCAAAGCTATATAAATACTAAGTTGATACACGGTTGTGACTTATGAACAGTTGGTAGATTAGTGAACAATTATTTGAAAGCTGTCGAGATGTGGTTTTATGGACGAATGATGAGAATACCCTGGACAGATAAAAACGAGTAATGAAGACGTCTTGAAAGAAATTGACTCACGAAGAAAACAGATCGCCCACATCACAAAGACACACTCTACATTCTTTGGTCATGTCATGAGGAGAAAACTGGAGTACATCGTAACAGCAGGCAAGTTGGAGGGGAGGGGAGGCAGAGGGATACCGACAAAACAGATGCTGGACAGTTTGACATATTGACATGGAGAATCATCTGTGTCAGAATTGATTGAAAGTATACGAGACAGAAGGTTGTGTATAGACATGACTACCAACGCCACACGACATGAACTTTACGAAGAAGATTATTTCATTCAATTTATTTATCATTCACAACAAGCAATAATATTATTTATAATACTGTTAGTAGTAGTATTGTTATTCCTACCCAAAGTAGTTCAGGATCCTCACCGGTGCAACGGAGTCTGTGCACTGAGCTGAGATTCTTCGGACTCAGGCTTGAGTTAGAAGTAGAACGGTGCATGTATTGATTACTACCATGATGTCGATTCTTTGTTTAAACCATTAAACCATCAGTCTTTTTCTCCATTTAGTTCTACCCTGTACAATAAGTTTGTGGATGGAATCCAGCCCAGCAGCTTTGGCCTCTCTTATCAACGTTTGAGTTAGGGTTTCTTTTGAGCATCCTCACTTCTTTTATCCCCAAATCATCTACTTCGGTGGAGAGAAGAGTGTCAAGGCGACTGGCAGAGAAACGTAGAGAAACTGGTGCTGTTTCTGCGGATGAAACTACATCACTTAAGACAAAAGAGAAGCATACTACATCCTCTGAAACAGATTCTTTAGATAAAGTTA